ACGGAAGCTGCTCTCAACCTAGTGTTGTGGGCAACCTACTATCTTATCTCCCCCTTACCCCATTACATATGGAAATAAAGGACAACCAACCATAATATAAAAATATAAAAAAATAATAATCACGGACGAAAATAAGTGTATACAATAATATAAAGAGAAAATGATGAAATAGATCATTTTTATTAATTGAAACTAGATAATATGATAAAAACATATTCATATAATATTTTCTTCCACATCTGTTACAAGTAGGGAAGAACTATAGTTATTTTAGATGAAACAAGAGATTGGACATTTCAAGCAGAACTATAAAGCTTGTGCCATCACCGATGGTATTCCAAAGCCCGAGGAGACGTGTTATTGGGCTTAATTCTAGAAAGATGTCGAATTGTCGTTCAGCCCAACATTACAGAGCAATACAGACCCGTGCTGGACAATATCAATAGAGACAATTTAACACCATATATAACTTGACAATTCAATGTCATTTACGACAAATAAAATTAATTGTTTTAAGTATTAAAAATAATAATGTGTTATTTTATATTTATAAAAGGTGGTTTAAGATTGTAAAAGCAAAGTGAATATTTAAGATGGTTTCATATTAGGATTAGTCATGATTGTTCAAGTTGTTTATCTTTATTCTTTCACTTTTTTTTAAATCTTGATTTTTAGACTCTTTAGGAACACTCTCCTTTTTTTTCTTAGTTTTTCTTCCCCTAATAGAATTAAGATTAAATTTAAAATTTATAAAAAAAATCAAATTAATCATTGATAAATTCACTACTAAGTGCTAATCACCCTTTAGATGTACCATTTGTGTTTTGTATTAAAACCAGTCAGTAGCTTAAACTTTAAGAGGTCGTTTGATTTATGAAATATAAGATATCTTTGGGGATAAAATTATCTGAATGTTACATTACTTGACACATTATTGGGAATGTTATATTACTTTGTCTGGTTTGTTTGACAGCAATGTAAAAATATAGTGTTTAGTTGAGGGAATATAAGATTACTATAATATGTATTTACCAAATTATCACTGTAATATATTTTTTAATAAATGTTCTTAATATTAAAACAAGAATATTATTAAAAAATTATATAAGAATATTTTTATTAATTCTAATTTATATATTTTTGTTTATAAAATTTTAATTCATAGAATTTATATATTTTCTTTTATAAAATTTAAAAAAAATGAGTAGAATAAAATATATATATCATATATTCATTTTTTTTAATATATAATGAAAAGAGAATTGAAATTCTTCTAGGCAATTAGTGTTGAACATTCACTATAGCTAACATATTCTTGCAGTAATGTTTCTAACTTTTATGGTGATCAAGTATAAACTCGAACTTTAAATTGTTGAAACAATGTTATATTTGTCGTCAATATAATATAATTTATTAAGTCATAAATGTTAATTATGAGATTAATTCAAAAAAAATAATTATGAGAGAATATAAATTAAGTAAATGATTTATTACAAATTTAAAAAGAATAAAATAAATGATAATTTTGAAATTAAACATTTATTTTAAGGGGAATTTTTCCAAAATTATAAGAATTGTTAAATAAGAGGAGGGAATAGGATTCTCATGAATACAAGCGAAAGAAGTTACCATCTCTATTACCTCTTAAAGGAAATGCTTTTAAACTAAACATGGCTATGAGATTCCGAAAAAGGTTATTACTCTTGATAATATTTTTTCTTTGATCCAAACACTCTTAAGGGGGCGCTTGGATCAATGAAAATTCATTATCAAGGGAATAATATTTTCCATAATTATATACCCACTTTTGGTTCAAAAGCATTCCCACCACAAGGTAATGAAACATTACCAAAGTGATTTTTTCACCTTGAATTCTCGGGAATCTCATTCCCCTTTTCTTAGGTATTAGACAATTCTCTCTCCTTTTGACAATAATACCCTTTAATAATATAAGTATTTCAAAACAATCATTCATTCTGTATATAATTATACGAGTGTAAATCTATTTTATTTATTTTTAATTATTTATGATTTTTTAATACTTATTAAAAACTAATATAATGCATATAAAATAATAGTATATCAACTTTTTATTTTATTTTGATTAATTTTACTTATGTGTTCGAATTTAAAAAAATTATATATTTTATTACATGTATTATTTAAGATTAATTTTTGTAAAAGGTTTTTGTAACCCCCTAGACATAGCCTATGCATTACGATTAGTTCTAACGGATTACATTAAAATTTCCAAAATATTTTTCGATAATTTAAAATCCATTTTAAAAATAATATCTTTAAAAAGTAGTAAATAACAATTAAATCCAAACGAGTAAAGATAAAATCTTAAATAACTGAGTAAAATAAAATATGTCATATTCTGAATCACAATAAGTTTAATATCAGTAGCGAAAGCAATAAACATCATAAAAATAAGTATTTCAAAATGAAGGCACATGTCACCATAATTGAAAGTAGTTCGGAAGATAGAAACATTACACCAAAAGGTTCTGTAAGAATGTGTTGATCCTCCAAGTGTCTGGTTTGGGGTGTCTATCCAAAAGTGTATGAAAGGAAAAAAAACAATTTGAAAAAGGTGAGCTAGGGAGCTCAGTGTATCCCACTAGTCCAAATAACACATGGTAGATAAAATAATCAGGAGTGTTCCAGTAAGGTATCGTAAAAAGTCATAGATAAATTGAATTTAAAACTCATAATACCCTCATCCCGTAAACCATAATGCAGTTTCCCCAAAACTACATCCATAAGGGCTACCTTATATCCATTGGGTATAGGAGCCACCTCAAGGGAGTACCTTGGGGCTTAAAAGCCTACCCAAGAAAGTTCTCGGGACCTTGGAGCCTACCCAAGGGTCGCCTTAGGTCTGTAAGGTATTTCCATCTTGATCAAAGCTGAACATCCATACTCAAGTATCATACCCAAAATAGTATCCTAATAAAATAGTTCTCGCAATAAACATTAATTTCCATGAATCCGTAATCAGTATAATCGTATTTTCAGTGTAAACAAGTAACCAAATAATATATATCAAACAGTATAGTTCATAAACAGTAATCCAGTAAGCTAGTAAAACAGTAATTTCTAAAAATCATATTTTAAAACAGGTAAAACATTTATATGGCACTTAAGGAACACATCTCGTAAAATGGGATCGGTCAGGGTGTCTACTGAGCACCTGCTTCACCACGCTCTATAGCAGTGTTCGAACCTAATTCATAATAAAACTGGGTTAATATCAGATAAAATTTTTAATCTATGTAATCACAAGGTTCACGGGTCATACGAGTAACCATTGGCTCATGAGATTGAACGGATAGAGAGGAGCTGGGTCGAGCTATCGAGCGATTGGGATAGTCTCGTGTACCTTCAAATAACAATATTTGATCAAGATCTAACCTTAATTTAATTATTCGTAACCAAATTACTTATGTACATATGTATGCTCAAGTTTGACGTTCAATTCAGGCTTTCGAGTTCGAATTTGGCAAAACGGATTTCGGATTCGGACTCAGGACGTCGAAAAACATAAAATATGACTTTTTCGGAAAAAAAATTGGCTTTTTGGTCAAAGTCAACGGATTGACTCTATCCGAGTTGACTCAACTCAACCCAGTTCAGTTCTAACTGGACCAGTTCAATCTTACTGGACCGGCTGGAGAGCCCCACGTGCACTGCCGGCGCGTGCGACGACGATGACCGTTTCAATAGTCGATCCTTCCCCGGTCTTCAACACGCTTGAATTAACCACTTTCAAACCTAATTTTGCAACCACACTATCCAAAACTCACCAGGAAATTAATTCGAAACTTACCCCAACAAAGGTCGGCGGCGTGGAAGAGTGAAACCAACTAGGTTTGATCGCACAATGTTGGGGAAGCCGGCGAAAGTGGCAGTGAGAGGCGACAACAACTAGATTGACAATAATTGACGAGAACAGTGGAACGATTTTGGGTTTTCTGTCACACGAAAAATCGTCTATTCACAGCGAAATGAAATGGCTAAGGCATAGGTAATCTTACTGATGGTCAGGTGTTTGAATCCTTTTAGCCACCTAACCCATTTCTTTTTATTTTTTTCTCTGTCGACAAAAAATGGGAAATTTGGGGTTAGGTCCCTAAACTTCCTACAACTTTCTAAAACGGGCTCAAGTTCTTAAAACTTGCGATTTGGTCCATAAATTAATTAAATTAATTAAAACTTTTATTTTATTATTATTATTTAGGGTTATGACAATTTTCATATTATATATATTTTTAATATATTCTATTAAATGTCTCATATAATTTGATATGATATTTTGTTTTCCAACTCATACATGTAGCATAAATAAAAAAAAGTATAGCAATTAACACATACTAACACCATATAATTTAATATAATTTTTATTATATTTAACTTTTTCAAAAAAAATATTAAAACATATTTACACCAATATAATTATGTGTTTAATTTTATGTTCTAAAATATTGAGAGATGTACATACTTACACCGATATAAGTATGTACACCTCTCAACCTTAAAAATAAACATATACTTACACCGGTGTAAGTATGTACATCTCCCAACCTAAAAATAAACACATACTAACTATGTATATCTCTCAATATTTTAGAACCTAAAATTAAACACATAATTATATTGTTGTAAATATGTTTTAATATTTTTTCAAAAAATTTAATACAATAAAAAATATTAAATTATATGTGTACAAATTTTATTAAAAATATATAAACTGGAAATAATAAAAAAATATGTTTTCTATTAACATTTATTTGTTAAAAAATCAATCTTATATTCCTATCAAATAAACTAAACAAGTTATTACAATATTTTTAATAATATTTTAAATAATATAATATTTTAATAATTTTATTTTTAATGTAATCTCACATTCTGTTAATTAAATCATCATAAAGGACAATGTATGGACGTAAGACGACGTCGTACAGAGGTAGCTTTCATTTTTAATCGTTGAAAGTGCTGCGTTTTGGGCAGTTATGTTCCAGCGAGAATTTTGGCAGACATGTCTCTGGTAGACTATGCATCCTCCTCTGACGACGACGTTTCAGACTCCGAACATGAGCTACCACAACGCCGCCCTGAACCACCACCAGCTCCACAACCGCAGCGACCTCCTTCCCCGCCTAAAACCTTGTGAGCGAGCATAACACTAATCCATCTCTCAAGTATTTCGTTTTTTTTAATTTGTTACAACTATTGAAAGTCGTTTAATTTAACTCTCAGACCATCTGGGTCGTCGGCGAATCAGAAGCCAGAATCCCTAGAGAAACTCCCGGATGCTTCGATGCTTTTGAACTCTTCGGCTTTTCTGTTTACGAGCGGCAACGACCATGCATCTATGGTAGCGGCGGCGATGGCGGACAATATGTCACGTAAGCGAGACTCCAAGGGAATGATGGGGTCGGGCTCTAGCAATAGCGTGACACCGCTACCGAGGGCTAAACTTCCGAGAGCTACCTTAACTCATTCCAAGAACGTTCCAGATACCGGCGGTGGAACCCTTGTTCCCCCTCAGCTCAGAGGAAGGTATCTAAATGCTTACTTTTTGTTTGTTTCCTCTCTACGATTTCAAAGTCCTTGTGTATTAATGGTTAAAAATTCTTGTTTGGAAGAATCAATTGAAAATTTATTTAATACATAATCTGCTTAATTTTTGGTAGCACTTATGATTTAGGTTATAAATTTCAATCCCAAGAGAGAGAAAAAAGGAACAAATTTAACCTCAAACATAAAAAATCTGCTAAATTGATTTAGGCCATTTCTGAATTATTCTAGCTATGAAACAATTTCACCTTTCAACAACTTGAGTTGACAGTAAGTTTGCTTCCTAGAACTTTTCCACTTTTCCTTCTCATTTGAGATAAAATTGCATATTGTGTAAATGAATCGATTTTAGAACTTAAGTAGCATTTGAAAACTTGGATTTCAAAAGATATATTCAGATTAAAAGAATAGTGCAAGTTGTGTGATAAACACATATAAAGATAAATTCATAACTATTTCTTATATCCATGGATTTTTCGGGTGCCTATGTGGTAGTGAATTTGAAATTAATGTTTTCATACATTTCAAATACATACTCATATTGAATCTCAACTAATGTATGTATTTCATTTTCATAATTTATATAATAAATTAAATCCGCATCTTCAAATTCATGTTTACTTGCTGAATATGGATTTATGTTTTTATTAAGGTTTTAATCACAAGAATTGAAATTCTTACAGCTTTTTTCTTATGCCTCAAGGCAAAATAACATTATTTTCAAATTGAGACAAAAGTTTCTTTGTATGCTTGACAAACCATCTGTTTTCTTTGTGTTCTTTTCACCCCACTAGCTGCTACATTTCCGAGGGGCTAATGCCATGAAGAAGCATCCCATGTGCTTGAGATCTCCCTATCATATAAATGACCTAAAGGCTAAAGTATCTTAAACGCTATGTTTAATATCTTGACTTTCTTGCCAAACCATTCAGTGTCATAGCTGCTTGGATTGATAGTATTGTGCATTCTTCATTTATGTTGGGAAAAATTTGTTGTTAATGATACATGGTTCAATTGTTGGCAGGAGTAATGTGGTCACTGAAGATATCAGCAAGCTATTTGTAAGCAGACATGCTGTTGCACAGCCCAGAGGACCTGAAAATGAGTAATGGTTTATTTTATCCTGGAAGAATGCTTTTTAGTTTAGACAAGCTGAAAATAGATGGATATTTTGAGGATTTTGACTTCGTATAAATATAAAGTGGCTAATTGTTTAAATCAACTTTAGCTTTTATGATAGGTTTTCAGGACAACTTGACAAACTTGTGGAAGTGAGTAGTTTGAGTGCATTGTCACTCCACTGGATTTCATGTGCGTGAATGTTTTCTTAGCAATGCATTTCTTTAAAGGCTTGTAGCCGGTTGTTGCCGAACTTTGCTTGTATACTGGGATTTTGTATTAGAATCAATTAGTGTAAGGTCATGATTAAGATTGGGTAGAAAGTGTTGCCGATTTGCTAAAATAAGGTGTGAAGTTGCTTTTCCTCTTCAACCCTAGGTCATCGAATGGGGTTTCGTCATACATGTTGAGGTGGTTATCTTATATCAGTTAAATCTTGGGTTACATGTCTTACGTTATAGTTGGTTATTTTCACTTATTATCAATTGTTTTTAATATGAATGCATGGTACGGTATCAAAATTCATGTGTTTTGTTTCTTTTGCTTGTTCATTCCGAGTACGACACTGAGTGTACTTTTTGTTGGGTTTTCCCTTGTTATCATTTAGTTTTAGGATAGATACTTGACTTAACGGAGTAGTTTTCGACCTTTTTTTTATCTCTGTTGGATGAAAATGCAGAGGAACCATGTCCTTGCTGGTGGTGTTACTATCAAAATGAAATGTTAACTCATGAGGGTAAAGCGCTTCACAGGCAAAACCATCAAACACGTCAGTGACGCACTTCTTCTCTTTGGATTAATTAAGCTATTTATCCTACCTCGGTAACCCGGTAGAATATACTATGAAACAAATTATTAAAGGCTCCTAAACATTGGTCTGAGAGGTTCATAAAAGGCAAAATTCCCAAATGAATACCGTGCTTTGCCCTATTTTGTTTATTTCTAGCTACAGTACTTACTATAGCCGAAGCAGGCTAAAAGGATTATATGATCATCATCTGTTATTCATTGTCACGAAACGTCAGCAGTTGCAGCTCTTGCTAACAAATAAATAACAAGGGTAACCCAAATAAGGTATATTGTAACATTCATTTTTGAAAAAAGAAATCACAAATAATATTAATAATGCATTGAAAAAAATAGCTAGGGTTAATTGTTTCAGACATCCTTCAACTATAGTCGAGATTCTAAATTGGTTCCTCTAGTTAAGCATCAAGTATATTAGTATTGCATCTAACATATTAAATCCACATACAATAGTTTATTAATCATTTTACTTTGTATGTTTATGAAATTTAATTTATTATATATATTTTAAAAATTATATATATATAATACTTATATTTAAATTATAAAATTACATCATTTTATTGTATTAAACAAAACAAGGATATATTTAATAAACTTTGAATTAGACCTTACACTGTTAGTTGAATAAATTTGACTTTTATCAAATTAATTTAAGTCGATTTAAGATTTGAAATCCATGAGATATTTCAAAATTCGAATTATACCAAATTTAGAATCATTTTAGATTTATATCATCTAAATTTGTCTGTTAGGTGATATCGGTTAGATTATCAAACATATGGTTAGATAATTTTAAGTTTGACCCAATCTTAATTTTAATCATTTTAATATCAATATTAATTTATTATGATAAAACAAAACTGAATTATATATAAATTCATAATAAATTGAAGGAATAAAATATAATTAAATTCAAGTACAAACCAATTAACGATTATATTCATTTAAAATCCAATTTATTTGCGTCCTACTTGTAATACAATTCCATTGTTCTTACCCCTTAACGACTTTGCCTGCTAGTTGCTTCATATCCCCGCATGTTATCTGTTCCAGCTTATTCTGTCGTTATTTTTTTACCTTAAATCTTCTATGCTGGTTTACAATTTTTTTACCTGCGGTCCAAACTTGAACTGCTGAAACGAGAGACTACACGATATTACAACAAGAGAAAGGCAATGGCTGACCCATTTCCTTCACAGCCTTCTTTACGTATACATTTTGTATGGTAGTAAGCAATATAATCTTTGAGGATGATGTCGATTTTGGTTGAGGTGGGCGGTTCTGATGTGAACTTGTTTTGTTTTGTTCAGCCGTTTTCCTAAAAGTGAAAAAAGCCTCATTACCTAAACAAAACACAATTTGCATTCGAAATATAGAAAGCTAAAACGATCCAAAGCTATTGACTTACCAAAGAATAGGAAGCTAAATTCCAACGGGGCATGTCGGGCCTCCAGTGCCGGCATACATACCGATGGTCCCCTGACCGGACAAATACCTGAATTGAGAGGCACAAATCATTTTCATAACTGTAATGATAGAGTTAATAAACCAACAGGAGTAGTTCTCCGACTAATAAATATCCTACCCGGGTATTTGGCAGTTGAAGGATGGCATATCTAATGCACTATTTGCAGAAAGTAAGGTTGAGAGAATCCAATTATTGTTAGCAGAAGAAGCTGAGACTGAACCATCCTTCTCTACAACGGCATTGGGAAAAGCCGAGTTATCTCGCGGGAGATGCAAAAGGACTATCGGGAAGGTTGTGCTCCACGCTGCAATTAGTTACAAAAGATGTTATATTTTACAATCCCTTGATTGGATATCAATCCATGAAGATCAGACAAAGGAACTAAATGTTTACCTTTCTGTTAAATCACCACCTTCACACTGAGGGCTCTCCTTGTCTCTACCATTCTCTTCAGTATCGGATAATTCTTTACCAGCAGAACTAGCAGTACTGGCTGTTTGTTTCTCCACAACGATGACCGATATAGCTGGCATAGGGCTAGAACAATTCTCTGCAATAGGGGATTGCAAATGGGTTACTGATTGCAGTATAAACATATGTTCATATGATCTAAGCAGAGTATTTGTACTAGATTACAAGCGATTGTAGTATTTGAATGGAGGGTACCTTGTGGAGCTCCCTGGTTGCTCTGAAATTGAGGAAGTACAAGAGACTGGCCGTAAAAGGTCGGTGATGAGGCAGGCGACGGAATGGGACTTCCACTAGAAAAGCCCCTCTGATGTTGATTCTTAACATCAAGGAGTCGCAGACCCATCAGCCTTCTATTTTGAAGCTCAAGGGCTTCCTGCAAATCAGTTTGCTCCTCCAATTTTCTCCTCAATAACATGTCCTGGGCATTGTAAAACATCCTTGCTCCTAATTGAACACGCATATTCTTAGTCATAATGTATAATAGACAAAGAAAACAAATGTGGGTCGTCAATGGTTTCATTGGCTTCAGCTTACCATGCTGAAGATCAAATGGTTCTCTGGAATCAAGGTCAGTATGGGTTCCACATGGAGAGAACTCTCCTCTTTCCATTTGTTGCTGTGGCTGCTTCCTGCAAGACAACAAATAGCATTATTAAAAGATCAAAGATCAAGTAAGCAATGCAGTGGAAAATATAGCTTCCTAAATGTTAAGAAAGATTGCCTATACTTATCTGGGATTTTTCCTTTCTCCTTGTAAGGCTTCACCAAAACTCGAGCATCTCAAACGAAATGAGGGTTTCCTTTAGCCATAATCATCCTCACCGTCTCAGGATAAAGGAAAGTAACAAACCCAAACATCCTCTTTTGCTGGTATGCTATCCTCACATCTTGAACAGTTCCGTAAATACTTCGTGAAGAAACCAAATAGTTTTTTTTAGCAATTAAGTCCATATTTACAACCTAATGAAGTACAGCATATTAAAAGTCAGCACCGAAAACGGTATATTAATGTATAATTCGGTGCAAAGGTCAAAAGAAGCACACAATTGTTGAAATTTGTTAAATGGTATAATCATAATTTAGTCATTGTAATTTAGGGTATTTACAAATTAGTCTTTAAGCTTCAACTATAAATACCTTAGTTTATTTAGCTTCAAAATCGTCCAAATCATTCTAGTTTTCTCCCAATACTAGAGAGTTTCTTGAGAGTTGTTTTCTCCTTTTTTTATCAAGAGATAATTATCATTATTTTCTCTTTAGTAGATTGAGAGAAGTTGTAATTCATATTTTCTCATAGTGAAATTATTCTACCGTTGCCCGTGATTTTTACATATATTATTTAGGGGTTTTCCACGTAAACGTTGTGTCTCTTTTATCTTCATTTTTATTTTCTCAAATTATCAGTTGCGATTTTGCTCTATCCGATAGTCGTTTTCCGCAACAATTGATATTCGAGCCAGATTAGAGTGTGTAATATCTACTTATTATCTTTGTGATTGCCACCAAAAGGTGAATCCTCCAACATAAGAAAGTAAGAAGATATTACCTATTTTTTGAAGGTTCTAGAGAACTATTCACGATAGTGAAATAGTGAGAGCTATCCGTAATAGAAGCTATGGCAATGAAATTTGATATTGAAAAATTCAATGGGAGAAATTTCTCATTATGGAAATTGAAGATGAAACATTGAGGAGAAGAAGACAGCTAAAGAGATATGAGATAAAAAAATCCAGGAAATGCAAATTCTTAGGGTATGTTGATAGAGTAAAGAGGTATCGCTTATGGGATCATACTGCCCGCAAAGTGATCATCAACAGGGATGTTAAAACAATTTTTCTTCGTGAAAATATTGAAGAAGAGATTTACATGCTTCAGCCTGAAGGTTTTGAAGAAGAAAAAAAGAATAACTTGTTTTGTAGGTTGAACAAATCTCTGTACGATCTAAAGCAGGCGTCGAGGTGTTAGTATAAGAGATTTGATTCCTTCATTATGTGTCTTGGATACAACAGAATTAATGCAGACTCTTGTGCTTATTTCAAGACGTTTGGTGATAACGATTTTGTTATATTACTGTTGTATGTGGATGACATGTTGGTTGCAGAACCCAACAAAGATCATATTAAAGAATTGAAGGCACAACTAGCTAGGGAATTTGAAATGAAGGACTTGGAATCAGCAAACAAGATTTTAGGGATGCAAATTCACCGAGACATAAGTAATAGGAAAATTTGGCTTTCACAAAAAAATTACTTGAAAAAGATCTTGACACGATTCAACATGCAAGATTGTAAGTCAATTTCTACTCATCTTCCTATTAACTTCAAATTATCCTCTACTATGAGTCCTAGCAGTGAAAAAGAGAGGATGGAGATGTCTTGAGTGTCGTATACATCGGCAGTGGGAAGTTTAATGTTCGCTATGATATGCACAGACCAAATATTGCACAAGCAATGGGAGTGATTAGTCGGTAC